CGGATGGATCTCTTCACAGTATCTCCTATATGCTTGTTAATGGAATTAGCCCAAAAGGCATTATCTTAAATGACTGCGTCGTGTCCTGCATTGCACTATGCAGGGTACTTGTAGGAAATTCTGAAGTTAAATGAAACAGTAGATAGTTTTCCTGTAAAGCTTTTTGGGTTAACTGACCAAAATTTTAATGAGAAAAAAAATAATATTTTTGCATTGCTTTTTTATTAAGTACATGACTTTCACCTTGAATTCATAACCACATCAATCTGATGCTCAAATTCTAAACTCTGTGTCTCATTTCCACGTATCTTAACATGGATAATGTCCCTGCCCATGACACTGAGAACTACATGGTCTTGAAAGGTCCTTTCCAACTCAAAACATTCTATGATTCCATAACTGAGGGCAAAAAAAAGAGTTAGAAGGTAAACACTGAGAGTTTTTGAGATAAGATCCTGCTCAAAATTTTTCACATTAGGCTTTGTAGCACTGCCAGTTCCATCTATTTAAAAAATATTTATTCTTTGACTTAACAATCTTTTGCGCTATTGTAGTATTGCCCATTCTCTCTCAGCATGGAGGATAGAAAATTGATGATTGCAAAGGAAAATAACTTTTTAATCTATTAATGTGATTTTAATGGCTTAAGAATCAGAGTAAAAAGCAACTTGCCTTAAATACATCACAAAATTGTTAGAGCTGGCTACAGAGTGTTTGACTTAGTCCTCCTAATGTTGGTTATTAATTGACATATAGGGAAGCAACTTTCCTAAAATAGATGTTTACATACTTTTCTAGTCAGTGGAAATGTGTATTTGAAGCCTTCAGGCCAAGATTCTAGCCAAGTAGCTGAAGTCCTGAACTTCTTTAAGGCTCTCCAAGGTACCTGCTTTCATCCATAGATTGTTTATGGAAGTCGCATTAGTAGGGCTGATTTACTAGAACCCTACAGTTTGGGCAGAAATTAGATGCCTAATTTAGGCAGACAGAATACCAGTCACTGCACCCTGGGGAACTACACAGTATTAACTGAAACATTTTCACCTGGATCTGGTGCCCAAGATGAAGGGCAAAATTAATCATCTTTATAATGTGCACAGTGAAGTTAATCTGAAAAACAAAAAAATACTTCATGTTGCATAGAAGTATTGCTCAGTTTGCATTATAGAGATCTGATAAGGTTTGGGGAGTTCTTGGTTTTTTGGTTGGTTGGTTGTTGTTCTTTTTAGTTTTCAGGAAACTTTCTAAATGTGTTCATTTTAAGAAACAACGGCACTGAGGCTATAAAACTCATTTGCTTGGGTTTTTTTTTGTGAGGACAGTGTTATGCTTTTGAACATTAAGTTGTTCAACATTAGTTCTCTTGGCACTTTTATGGGCCTACCTGTCCTGATACCAAGAATTTGCCGAAGTGGGCAAGGAACCTGTATCAACTTCAGATGTTGTTTTAAAGAGTGTGTGTCTGTTCATCATGTCAGCTGAATCACTGAACTGGCTGATTGCTGTGTCAGCAAACAAAGTCTCTCTTCCATGTCTGTAATTCTTCAGCTCTTAAACATACTTGACAGTTAGCTGGTGACCTTAGAAAGTATTTTCATCTCCCACTCCACAAATGGTAGCGTGACAATGTTTTGGTGAAGGGTGGTAAGAGCTTAAAACACATTGAGGTTAAAAGCAAACATCTAAATGCATTTGCCCAAATGACAGAGATGAAGCACAGTTTATGAAGCCTCACGCACAGCTGCAGGAACTGGTACATGGGCAGGCATTGTCTGACTTCCCTTCTTCGGTTTCCAAATATTGTTTCCCCAGACCGTTGATGTTTAAGGAACAGAAGCTGATATCTAGTATTTAAATGAATTTCAGGAGCTGACGAAACAGAGGTTACTGCATTTCCTTATGTACACGAAATAGGTTTTGTGACATTAATCAGCAAAACCTCTGAGCCTTTTTAATGAGATTTATGCTGCTGTCATGGTCTAATGCATTATAAAAGCAAAAAGGGAAAAGTAATTATTGTCAGTTTTTGGTGGGCAGAGAAGTCTTTTAGAATTGCAGAGAGATTCCCTTACTCTCTTGAGAGCAGCCTGGGCGTGTGGGTGAATCCTGTGCTCATCCTACGCTCCTAGCTTGAAGCTCAGCAACCCATTGCTGCATATTTTTTCTCGCTTTAAGGAAGTCTTACCTCTGGGAATACAGCAGGGAATATGGGTTTTGGTAGCCAGAAGACAGAGGAGGCTGATATAAGACAAAACCAAAACTCCTATGTGTTGTACTTTTTGTTTGCCTTTCAGCTAGAGTGAGAGATGGAGCCACACTTTTCACCAGATACATATTCTTCACGAGAATGTGATTCCACTAAAATGAAAAACTTGAGCATATCTTTTGGTGTACTGAGCTTGAAGGTCAGTGTTTCTGCAGGCCCTTGGCTCCAATCCATTAAAGATTATTCAGTTTTTAAATTTTGTCACTAAAATTTACTGTGATTATAAGAGATTTAATACTGACAAAAGCTTAGAGAGGGCAGTCAACTAAACATCCCGGTGAGCCCTCATGGGAATGATATATTCTTAGAATTACCTCCTGGGAAGCCTAAGAAGCCAGCAAAACATAGGTGTAGCAATTATAGCTGTCCAAAGCCTTGGTCCATGCCAGACCATATGCAGATTATGAAAGAATAAGTGGAAGTATGTGTTGGCTCTTGGGAGAGCATTGAAACTATTCTCCATCATATAAACATAGGAAGGCTCAAGAGGGAATCAGACTTGGATCAAGTCTTACTTCCACGATGTGACTGACCACTGGTCAAAGGAGTAGTTAAAATGTGTCTGCATTCAAATAGGAAAATGACAAGGAGTTTTCACCTTGCCTCTGCAGCCTTCCTGGTGAGCTGCCACATACCAGCCCAAACTATATGCGTTTGAAGTGGTGTTTTCTTGGCTGATAGCTAGCCAAATGCCTCAGCTGCTCACACAAATGGTTCTGCGCAAATCAGTGAGATTTTCTAGACACAAGCAGTTAATATTTCAACAAGCAACTGCAGATAAAACTGCTGTGTCAGATTGCATGGCAAAGAAAGCTGTTGCCCTTGTTCAGAAAATTCAGTGCCTGGAAAGTTTTCAGACCTTACCATTTCAATGATCTGAAAAATTGTGCTTTCAGATCAACTTTGCAATGTTCTCAGTCTCTGCATGCCAGTCTTTTGTTTTGGTTTGCGGTTTTTTTGGCATTGTTTTTCTAGTTTGGAGGAATCAGAGATTAAACAGAGTGTTCTCAACTCCCTGGCAAACCTCAGGATGCAGGTTGCTACTACAGACTTCGCTCTGCTGCTGCAACTGTCCGAATATGTATAACTGTATATTAGGATAAGAGGTCATTACTAGAATTCAGGTCTTTATGAGGAACTTCTTGCTGGTTGCTACACTTACATATGCGTGTTTGTGGTTTTTGTTTTTCCAGCTGATTTCCAAAGAGAAGCGGGCCTTTTGCTGCATGCAGTTCTCTTCTTTACGTGCAGAATTTTTCATATTCCCAGATAATGTCTACCTTGTCCAATAACAGTGAAGAAAGCAGATTAAATTTTGCTCCATGGTTTGATTCAACAAATGAATTTTTTTAAAGAAATAGCTTGTTTCTGCTGTAAAAAAATATCAAACATGCCAGCAAAGCACAGCAGCTTCTTCTCTCTCTTTCAGCCCACATGTCTGCCATTTTTGCCCCCACTCTCCTAAATATGTCTATGTCACCCAAAGGATGTAGTCCTGGGCTTTTGGCCAATATCCTGGGCTTGAATTCTCACACAGAAAAGCATTTTCTTAGGAAAATAATACCATGTGGCAGTCGGTAGGCACAATACTACCTCTACTGCCAGAATTTACTGACTGAATGAAGCTGTGGCAGATGGCCTGAAATGTTTCAGTGCTTTCTTTCTCTAGACCAGAATTACCTAATTATTTTGTTACGATACATTGGTTCATTTTACCAGGCTCTGGTCAGATGGGAGGGATGCGTTGGATCTTGCTTTGCTGGACCAAGCAAGGTCTGCAGGTAGGATAAGGGCAATTACAGCTGAATTCCTGGGACAAGCAGGCTCCTGGTGAGGCCACACAACTGGAAAGGGACGTGGGATCATCCCTTGGGGCACCAGGGACAACATCTGTTGGAATGAAAAGAAATGGACTCCTGGTTCTGATCATGACTGAGTGCACCATTTGAACAGCCTTGTTGTAGAGGAGGGTGGTGTTTTACTCAGTAATGATACTTTCATAAACACTATGCCTGCAGAAGTATCTTTATGTTACTGTTCACTGAGTGTTGTCCTCATGCATGCTACTTGGTAGATGCAACAAAGGGCTAGAACAACTTTTCTGTGGTCCATACATGAACAAAGAGGTTATTTCTCTTAAGAAAGTGGTGATGCATTGGGGCATCTGCTGTAGCTTAGGGAAAATATATGGGGAAGAATAAGGACGAGTCAAATATGACATTGAGATTTTGAGGTATTGGACAGGGAGAGGCAAGTGCAATCATTTTTAGTGTGGCAGAATACTTGGCAAAGAAAAATGAGCAGCTATAATTTTGCTAGGTTTATTAGAAGGAGTGATTTTGAAGTGTAACCTAGTAAATACCAGAATCAAACCAGAATTGAACCAGCTGCGTATTACTGGAGTAGCTCAAGGAGAATGTCTTGGTTCTGTCCTCTTCTCTGGGTACATGTTTTCAGTCGGTTAAGAAGAGTCAGTGGAATTGCATTTAAAAGTGTTGTCACTTCTCAGTCTGTCACAGGGCTTTTGCCAGCTCTCTTCAAAAGGAGTTGGTGCCTAGAACTGAGCCAGCTGGTGGATCTGATAATCTCATCACTTTACTAGAAAATCTAAATATACAGCAGTACGAACTGCAGTATGTCTGCTGTCCTGTTTTGCAACTATTCTGCATTTGAATGAAGAACAACTTTTGCATTAAAGCAGTACTGAAGCTCTCTCTGTCTTTCTGTTCTATAGGTTGTCATTTTGTATTTTGAGCCAAGTGTATTTCGCTGTGTTCTCCTAAGATGGGTTCGTCTTCTGGGCTTTGCTACTGTTTATGGAACTGTGACGCTCAAGCTGCACAGGTATTTCACATGTTATTAATTTCCATCTCTATGGGAGTATGTGCAATCTGCGTGGGCACTTCAATTGGAAGAGCTGTAAATATTCTTACAATCAAGTGCCGTTTCTGGTTTTTAAAATCACTGCGTATTTCTCCTCACTATTCCTGCTCACATGATATGCTGTTAATCCCAGTGGAGAACTCTGAATGCAGACAGGACTTAATGAAAAATATTTACATCAGCTGTAAAATTGTGCAAGACCTCCTTTTCACAGAAGGTGAATATATTTTTCTTGAATATAGGAGCACACAGAAGTGTTCATAGAGTGCTTAAAAGTTTCCTGAAATGTTCATAGATAGATGCTTTCCAAGTGTTTAGATACAGCAATGGGGAATAAAACAATACCCTGTGGCATAAATACTTATGATGTTTTCTTATGGCTCAGAAGTCAAGGGCTGCTTTCTTCAGGCAGACAGGCTACACATTCACAAGCATCAATGCTTGCCAGCAAAGATGTGTGGGAAATTCTGGGTTCCACGAGCTGGCAGTGCTTTCACATGCAATTCAGAGATTAAGATTCAAAGACCCAACTTCAAATCCCACTTCCACTGTCCTCTTAAGAAATGCAACCTTTTCTGGGTATGGTGGATAAAATCCCAATGCTTCTTCCTCTTTTAACTTTGGTGAAAAAAATTACTGATACATTCTGCAAGTATTTTTATTGAAGAAGAGATATGCAGTATTTATATGTTGGTACTTAGACATCTTGAATGAAGTAGGCTTGCTCATCTTTTTATCTTAGTTTCATTACAGTGTTGGCATGTTAGATAGAGGAGGTTTGACATTTTGTTCATAAACTGAATAAGGACTGAGAATATCTTGTGTTTCATATTGCACTATTGGCTTGTCACATTCTAGGTGGAAAACTGCTTTCCCTTTGAAATAGAGCCTCTTCTTGCAGCTCCCTTTTTATTTATGTCCCTTGTTGCAAGTGTACACTTCGGCCGCTAAATTCAGACTGCTGTGTCTGGCCACATCTTTGCATTTAAATTAATCCAGAAAATCCCACACCCTCATGATATTTTCTGGGATGAACAATTTCTGATGCAAAAGAAATAACAGCTAGGGCACTACAGAAGAGATATAGCAGAACTGGTGACTTTACTTGCATGAGAGAAACAGCCTAAGGCTATGGAAGACTGACGTTGTCATTGCAGTTCTACTACTCTTAACAGGATGGTTATGTGATTTTACTGATGTGAGGAGGCAAGATCCTGACAGGCTAGTTGATCTTCTATTTGTATGAAGTGAAAACAGGCAGGAAAATCGGACAGAAAATCTTGCACTTCTGCTTTGCTCGTTCAACTGGTAGGTGTTACTTGGCACCGGTGCTTACAGGGTCACCAAACTGGACAAAGATTGGATAAGAAAGAAAGAATGAACTACATCTTCAGCCTTGATCAGCACAAAACAATGAAATATAGCAGCAAACTGGCCTGTATCAACAGGAAAGCAGCCAGAAGGTAGAGGGAAGTTACTTTTCTCCTTTACTCATCATGTCTTAGACCATATCTGCAATGCTGTGTGCACTTTTGTACTCTCCCAGTGAACTTGAGTGAGTTCAGTGAAAGGCCATCAAGATGGTCAGGACTTGGAGCACTTGCCCTGCAAGTAGCGATTGAAGGAACAGGGCTTCTTTAGCCTGGAGAAGAGATGGACCTAGCAGCAGCTATGTGACACCTTCAAGGAGCTTACTGAGAAGATGGAGCCATGCTCTTTCCAGCAATGTATATTGGGAGAACAAAAGACAATGGCAAATTGAAATGGGAGGTTTCAACTTTATATAATATCGATTAGCATCAGGGTCAATGTTGTACAAGTAAAACATCTTCACTATCAGGGAAATTAAACAGTGGAGGTGGTTGCACATGAGATTGTGAATTTCCATACTTTGAGGTTTTCAAGACCCAACTGGATAAAGCCCTGAACAACCTGGTCTGGATTCAGTGTTAAACCTGCTTTGAGCACTGGATAACCTTCTGAGGTAATTTCAACCTGAATAATGCTATATTTCCATGTGAAACATGAAAAGAAAAAAACCCAAACATATTTCTCGTAGTAACCCAGAATTACTTTCTCTAGGATCCATCTTTGCTTTCCACCCTGGTTTCCTGAACATTCATGTCCTACATTCATTATATTTGTTGGGTTTTTTTAGTACTCAGTATTTCAGTCAGGGAGTATGCCCAGCAAAACTGAATTAATTATATATATATGTTTTTATTATATACATTTGCAACCGTTACATATTAAGAGTAGTATGATGCTAGTAGAAATTTGGTAAGAATTTTTGGCAGATCTAATTCAATCCACAGTCATTGCAGGGTTGAAGACTGGCTTACTGCACACGCCACAAATACTCATTATAAGCACTGGTTCCCTCCTGCAGGTAGCCCGTATCTTGCCTGGGGGAAAGACTGACTGCTAGCAAGGAACTTGTGATTTTTCTAAGATTAATGAGAAAACCAATATTGTGTAAAAACAGCTACTAATGATAACAAGAAAGTCTAAAGCTCTGTTTCTCAATGCATTAGGTTCTTTGAGTAGCACTGGAGCATGAAGGTTATCCAAAGCCAAGTAGAAGGCAATGGAAGCACTTGTTATCTTTGTGGCTGAAGGTCCCCGCTTCCTCAGGAGGTCTTTGAGGTTTCATTAGGGTCAGGCATCAAGGAGAAATCAGAAAAGTAGCCAAAAGCAGATGCTTAATGAGAGTAAAAGAACAGGAAAGTCAGGTACTGATTCATTCTTTGACCACCCATCACAGTCAATTTCTGCCTCATCTTGAATTACCTCTTTCTTAATCATTGTGCCTTGTTAAATAATGACCTGATGTTTATGGGGGTGAGAGGATGGGGATAAGGAAATGAGCTTAATTTAAGAAACCTAACTGTAGAGCTGTGAACATAAAACTCAGTACTTTCCTCAACAATTGAATTATTCAAAATAATTCAAAGTAATAGCAATGGTTCAAATTTAACCTTTAGGGTTTAAAAGAGCTGCTGATGTTGCATCTTTCAATATACTTCTGTGACTGAAGACTCTTTGTGTTCCTTTTCCAAGTCCTGTATTATATGAACAGGGCTTATTTTTATTTATAATTTTATAAATAATTTAATTATTTTTAATATTTTGTGAACTTCTACCATCTTGTTTTCAGGATTAATACACAATTATTGTTTCTGTTTTAAAGCATAAAATGGAAGAAAGCTATTGGTATATATATACAGACATATGTGTGTGTTTGTATGTAACATAGGGTAGCTTACAGCTGATAGCATCTAGAAATAACTGTGGGGAGCATGGTGCTGAAAGGTACAAACAGTACTTTTCTAGCTGGTGCTTGTACAGCTGGGAGGTTCCTAGGCCAATATTTCACCTTCATACAATCAGACCAACTGCTCTCAGAGTGCTCAACCTCCTGAGAAGGAACATAAGATTGGAGAGCAGAACAACCCCCCATAATCCATGAGGATGCAGTCAGAGCTGTTGCAGCACTTAGGCACTCAAAAGTCTATGGGGCCAGATGGGATTCACCCGAGAATACTGAGAGAGCTGGCAGAGGAGATCACCAAGCCCCTCTCTATCATATATCAGCAGTCCTGGATAACGGGAGGTCCCAGATGACTGGAGGTTTGCCAATGTGACACCCATCTACAAGAAGGCCCTGAAAGAAGATCCTGGGAACTACAGGCCAGTCAGTCTGACCTCAGTGCCAGGGAAAATCATGGAGAGTGAACTCACATGGCAAGTGCAGGACAGACCTGGGATTCAGCCCAGCCAGGATGGGTTCAGGAAAGGTAGGTCCTGCTTGACCAACCTGGTCTCCTTCTATGATCAGGTGACCTGGCTGGTGGATGAGGGAGGAGCTGTGCAGGTTGTCTGGACTTTGGGAAGGCCTTCAACAGTCTCCCACAGCATTCTCCTGGAGAAGCTGATGGCACATGGCATAGATAGGTACGCTCTCTGCTGGGTTAAAAACTGGCTGGCTGAGCCCAGAGAGTTGTAGTGAATGGGGTTGGATCCAGCTGACAGCTGGTCACCAATGGTGTCCCCCAGGGCTCAGGTTTGGGTCCAGTCCTGTTCAATATCTTTATTGATGACCTAGATGAGAAGATTGAGTGCTTCCTAATTAAGTTTGCAGATGACAAACTGGGAGGAAGTGTCAACTTGCTTGAGGGTGGGAAGGCTCTGCAGAGAGACCTGGACAGACTGGACTGATGGCCTGAGCCATCTGGACGTGGTGTGTAGCGGTTCTCATCCCATGTAAAACAAAAGGGGGGGAAATTGTTTTGGAGATAGATGTTGCTGTTGAAGAAATGCAGTGTCCTGAGTGTCTGATACTGCCTTTTGGAACTGTTTTTTACTGCAGTAACTTGACTGGCAGGAATAGATGTTTGAGTCTGTTTCCAAGGTAAGAAAAGAGATGGTTTAATCAAGCCATAGAGCAGGGGCTTACTATAAACATTCTGACAATTTGTTGTTCTCTTCCCAGGAAACAGTGTATTTTAGCACCTGAGAGGTTTGATCTTTATTATATTTATGCAGCACTGTTCATTTGGTGAATCCAGTTTTTGTGATCTTATGTCAAATGCTCACGTATTCCTGTTTATTATGTTCCATTAATTAAATCACAGCATCAGCTGTAAGAAAGCCAAGGGACCTGTCACTGTGAACTCCATTCTAAAGACCAAGCATCCTGAGACAAACTTGCTGCAAACACTATAGGTGTGTGTTAAAGGATATATTCAGTGGTTCTTTGTGCTGAAACTTGCTATAAGTCTCCCCTAGGCCCTGGAAGGAGAATGTGTCTGCCTCTTCTTCCCATCCTATAAAAGGATTTATGGAACTTTCCATAAATGAGTGGTTTTCCCTTTTTTCCTCCTGAAAGCAGTCAAGCTGCAACCACGGTTAGATTTGACCCCAAGATTCATAAATTTCAAAGTACTCCTTTCTTGGGTGAG